GAGGGAGGAGGAGGAGGGGAGGAGGAAGGAGGAGGAGGAGGAGGAGAGGCGGGAGGAGGGAGGGAGGAGGAGGGAGGAGGAGGAGGAGGAGGAGGAGAGGAGGAGGAGGGAGGAGGAGGGGGAGGAGGAGGAGGAGGAGGAGGACGAGGAGGGTGGCGAGGGAGGGAGGACAGGGACGCGCAGGGGACAGGGACGCGCAACTTGCAGAGTGGGGGAAAGGTTTTGCGCAATTGGGAGACGCAGCTGAAGACGGAAGGCGTGGCGGAAAAGGTGGCGGAGGATTCGAACGAAAGTGGGAACTTGACAAAATACAGCGGGAAGGGAATCGGGAAACAATATTGGAGAACACATAACATGTTGCAACACGTGGTTGGGGAAACGTGCACTCGAGGTCGGATGGGATGATCACCACAACAACATGCTTAAACATTCGCGAAGGCTTGATGGAAAGTTTGTATGTAAGAGGACCTTCGAAGAAACGGAGGAAGGAGCACGACGAGGACGGCGATGGCAAAGCACGAAAAGACAAGCGGCGGCGACGAGAGGACAGACGACGGAGACGGACGGCGACGGCGACAGCGAAAAACGTATTCATCGGGTCGGCGCCGATCCGCAATCCACCGATATTCCTTGGGCTGGTGCCGATCCGCCGCGCGTGTGCGTATGCGTGTATATATACACGTGGAATATATAATATATATATATATATATATATGTATTATCATAATACATAACATCTATATACTTATGTACACACCCCGCGTTCCAACACTGATGCTGCGATGCAAGATCCTGGCAATGATAATGATCAGCGCAAGTAGTTGGAAATCTTAGACACCCATTGGCCGTGCATGCGAGGCCTGCTACATATTCAGGGCAGTCACGTGTCTTACAAGATACAGCCATATCATTGCTATCGTGTTTCGATGTTGTTTTCGCTTTTCCGCATGGCTATTGTATTTCAACATGATTTTCGCGATTTTTCACACATGAACATCTACATCGTTTTTTTTTTTTTTTTTTTTTTTTTTTTTTTTTTGAAAAGGAGCCTCTGGGTGACGGGCGAGCGACGGCGGGGCCCCTTGATCCGCCGTGGGGACTCGGAGGCCCCAGCGTCCCTCCGGCTCGGGCGGCTGTCCCGGGGGGCCCTGCTCCCTCCCCTCCCGCCGCTCGCGCTTTCCCCTCTGCGAGCCTCGGCGGTGTCCTCATTTCCCCTGCTTCTCCGGCGCTCCGTGGGGGGGCGTGGGGCGAGGCTTTCGGCGGCTGGTTTCCCATCCCCGGCCTGCCTGCTCCGGCCACTGGCGGCCTTTTCGCGCTCGCTCTCCGACGATCCGCCCTGTGGGGACATCTCTTCTTCCTCCTCACACTTGGCCCCCCCCTTCTCTCCCTTCGGCCTCTTTCCGAAAGTGGGGGCCCCTTTGGTCGTTATTCCTCCATTCTCGAAGGTGGAGTCCGGCGGAGGGTAGACCGTGCCCTTCTTCATCTCACTCAGGAACGTGTCGACCAGCCGCTGGGGGTACTTCCGCCTGTTCCCCCACTCCGCCTCCTCCCACCCCGCTCCGACGCTCCGGGCGTAGCGGTACCATTGGGTGCGGATCTGGGCGCCGTGCTTCTCGTCCTTCCCCAGGAGGTCCAGCATGTCCTGGCCCCGTGCCTCCTCCAGCGCCTGTGTGGCTCGGTTGAACGCGTCCAGGTGCGCCGGGGGCCCCCTCCCCTCGGTCTCCCTCCGCGGTGGCGGGTCTGGTCCCTTCCCCCCGGTCTCGCCGCTTAGGGCGTCCGTGGCGGCTCCGGGCGATGCCCCGCCGATGCCGCCTTCCTCCCTCTGGAGTTGAGGGCCCGAAGGCCCTTCACCCCCCCTGCGGGTTTGGGTGGGCGGGGAATTTCGCCGACGGCATCTGGGGCCGGGGGCGCCTCTGCTTGGCGCGGGCGGGGCCGCACGTCCCGGTAGCGGATCCAGGTGAAGGCCTCCGGCGTGGGCCCCAGTGCGAGGGCGTGCCCCTGGTTGAGGAACAGCCGGGCGTCGGGGGAGTCGCCGCTCGCGCGGCTGGGAATCCGCGTCTCGCGGAGGTAGGCGTCCTGGAGCGTGCGCACGTGGAGGTCGACGCTGGTGAGGGCGGGGCCTCCCAGTAAGGGAAACTCTCGGTAGTCTCTTCCCGAGTGCGGGACGGCGGCTCCCGCCCGGAGTGCGTCGTCCAGGGGCGAACTGGAGGCCGGCGGCGCATCGCCGGCCGCCTCCAGCAGCTCCGCCCGGTAGCGGGTGGCCAGGGCGTGCATTTCCTCCTGATGAGGGGGGTGCCGTGCTGCCGCCACAGCGAGGAGGCGGCGGTGCTCAGGAGCATGCACTGCCCTCCCTCAGGTTCGCCTTCCTGCAGCCCCAGCTTCTCCCGCGTGAGATGGGCATGGGGCCCCGTGGGGTGGAGGTACTGGCCGAAGTCGAGCGTGCCCCAAGCCGTGCGGCGCGGGCAGGTAATGCACGCCAGCACCCCCGGGGCGGGCGCCTGTGTGGCGCTCTGCTCGGGCTCCCCCCTCCCCGTGGTGGGGGGGTCCCCCGGGGGTGTCTCCGTGCCCCGGTTGGCGTTCTGCCCGCCGCGGGTCTTCGGGCGGGGCTTCGGTCCCTTCCGGAGTGCAGCCATGCGGGCATCCACCGCCGCGGGCGTCGCGAGGGGGAGCTTGTGGAACCCTCCGAAGCGGAAGAAGAGCAACCTGGTCTCCATGGGGAGGCCCTTCAGATCATTGATCTTCTGGTGGGCGTCCCGGCAGCCGCTCCCCCGCCAGCGCGTGCTGTGGCAATTGAAGGGGATGCAAATCCTCTTGCCCTGCGGGTTCTTAGGGGCACCCGCCAGGGCCGCCTTGTGCTCCTCCGCCTCCAGGGCCGTGCCGATGGGGTACTGCGGGTTGTCGTCCTGGCCGGCGCGTCCCGCCGGGGGCGGGGGTGGCACCTTCGCTCTGCTCGTCCGCGAGAGGGCAGACAGGGCGGACCGTTGCTCCCAAGACTTACGGGACACCACCCGGGCTCGAAAGAACCCGTTGGGGTGGTCCAGCTGGAAGGAGAGGGGCATCTGGAATCGCGGCTGGCCTCCCGGCCCCTCCAAGAGGTGGAGCCTGAACTCCTCTTCGGTGGGGTTCTGGTTTCTGAGGTCGTGGAGGGCCCGCTGGGCGATCAGTCGGATGCCGTCCCACCAGTCCCAGTGGAGCTCCTCCCAGATCGCGAAGAGGTCCCCCTCCGTCCACTGGTTGGGGTCATCGAGGTTGAGCTGCACCAGCCTCCTCAAGGCGTCCCGCCTCTCCCTCTCGTGGTCTTGGCCGTAGAACAGGCAGATGGTGGTGATGCTCCGGTGGGCCTGGTCGGCCCAGACGGCGAGGATCTTGGTCCAAGCGGGGCGCTTCTCCATGTGGGTGGGGTCCGAGTGTGGGATGAACCGTTCGAACTCCTCCCGAGTGGTCCGCGGGAAGTCCGATGCTCCCAGGGACCACTTGGCCATCCGTTCCAGGTCGCGGCGCCCCCAGAAGCCCCCCGCGATGGCGTAGGCAATCCGGTTCACGACCAGGACGGGGCAGCCTCCCTCGTGCATGATCATCCAGCGTCCGTCTCCTCCCCTCAGGGCTGCGTCGTATAGCTCCCTTCCGACGAGGCCCGGGCAAAGGGCGACGTAGCAGGCGTTGAACCCCCGGGCGGTGTAGACCGCCAGCCGGCACTCCGTCTTTTTGAGGTAGCCCAGGGAGCCCTCCACGTTCTTGGAGTCGTCGGCCTCCATGCGCTGGGAGAGGTTGAGGTGCTGAACCAAGAGGCGGGTGTTCGGGTCAGTGAAAATCCCCGCCTGCCGTTCCCCCCCTGCCCCGGCGCGTCCTGTGGCGCCCCTTGGTGGGGCGATCCCATGAATGGCATCCCGCTGCGCAGCGGGCGGGGGGGGGTTCGAGCCGCCGGACGGCGCGGGGCGCGTGTCGCGGTATTCCCCCTCGGGGAGGCTGGTGAAGATCCCCTCCATGACGCCCGGAGGTTGGAGGGCCTGCGCCGGTGAGGGCGGGGGGGGTCTCCCTGCTGGGGTAGGCCCCTCCTGCCCCTTCTGGGGCAGGCGCTTCTCGCGGACGTGCCGCAAGAACTTGCCGAGGGCGGCCTGCTCCTCCCGCTCCAGTGGGGCGGGGTTGCGGAGGGCGGTCGCCTCCAACTCCTCCGCGCACGGAATGACCAACGTCAGGCAGGTGTCCGGGTCCTCGCCGTAGTAGTCCTGGGCCGCCTCAAGTGCGGCCTCCACTCCAACGCCGTCCTGGATGGCGGAGAGGAGGGCCTCGAGGAGCCAGACCACCGCCGAGGGCTCCCCCGACGGGTCGCGGGAGGCGCCTGTGGAGGGGGTCCCTCCCTCACGCGCCGGAGGGCGTGGTGAGCTTTCCCGGCGGGTGTTCCTCCCCCGTGGGGGGTAGTCTTCCCCGCCCGAGGATTGGCCGGGCTCCTCGTCCATCCGCCGGGCACTCCGATGGCGCCATCGGTCCAGCTCCCGGGAGTTCAGCAGCAACACTACCTCCTGGACCCCGCCTGCCCCTCCGGAGGGGGTCTTCCCTTCCTCTGTCAGGGCGCTCCATTCCGGTTTAGTCGCTTCGACGAACCAGGCATGGATCCCTCCCAGGGGGGGGAGGAGGGCCTGTCCCGGGCGACGGATCTGACCGATCGGGACGGAGTAGCGAAGACCGAGGGCGGCGAGGTGGACCACCGCCTCACCCGGAGGGTGGCCTGCTGGCGGCTCCTCCCCTTCCCCCCGGAAGACAAGATAGTGCTCGGCCGGGGGCTGTTTCCCACGCCCCCGAAGGGCTTCCTCCTCGCGGCGAATGTGGCCCAGGAAGAGGCGGCCAACCGCGTCGCGCGGGTGGGTGATGGGAGGCAGCGGGGTTAGAGGGCCCGGAGGGGGGTCCTTCGAGGAGGCTGGCAGTCCCTCTCCCGGCCGCCCCTGGGGGGGGGGGCCGGCGGACGGCGCCGCATGGGAGGCGCAGAGGAGCCCCCCCTCCACCTGCAGGGTCCCGATCTCGTCGCACGAGGGGGGGCCCGCGAAGGCGCAGAGGAGGTGCTGGCGGGCAAGCCGGTACATGCGCTTGTGCCGAGCGCATAGGGGGGCCAGGACGCGCCCGCCCAGTCGCTCCCATCCGGTAACGTCCGACTGGGGTTCGTCCTCGACCAGAAGGAGGGTGAACCCTTCGTCCGGGGGCTCCGGGCACGGGGCGCGGAGGCCGAGGGTGCCCAGGGTGCTTCCGGGTGGGCGCCAGCCCAAGCGGTCCCCACCACGCGTCCCGATGGTGGGCCCCTCGCTCTCCGACTCGAGCTGGCGATCCCGGGGCCTCCCCGCCCCGGCTGCCGTCCTCCTTTCGCGACAGCGCCACGCCCCCAGCAGGTCTATCCCGATGGCTCGGGACATGGAGCGGAGGAGTCGGTGGGCGCCACCAAGGGTGCGGCCGAAGAGGCAGGCGAGGCCCAGGAGGAAGCCTTGATAGGGAAGAGCCTTCTCCAGGTTCAGGACGAGCCCCTCCTCCACGCCGGTGCAGTGGTAGCTGACCGCCGCAATGTCTGGGGGGATCACCGCTTCCCACTCCCGCGCCAGGTGGGCGGCGCGCTCCCGAGCGTTCTCCAGCCGCTGACGGAGGGAGGGATCCGCACAGTGCAGCACGGCACCGTAGAGGTACACCTGCCCTCCCTTCCGCGTCGCGGGCAGCGTGGAGCCCGGTTTCCGCTGCATCCGGACCATTCCCTCCTCGATGATGGCGAGCAGCTCATGCGGGCGGCGGCTGGAGTGCCTCCCGCGGGCCCGGACCCAGTCCTGGAAGAACTTGTTGGGCGTGGTCCCGCCCGAGGCGGGCCCTCCCCGCACCGGCCTCGAGTCCTTCAAGGGGTGCGGGTGTTCGTTCCTGCGCAGAGGGCCCTTGCCCCGTGAGAGTAGGGCCAGGGCATAGGCCAGGAGGGTGAGGAGGTCCAAGGCCACCAGGGCGGAGAGGAAGTAGAAGAAGACCAGGAGGTACTGGAGCCAGTGGGGGAACCCCTTCCAGCGGGCGCTCCCGAACATCATCAGCCCTAACCATGCCCCTCCTTGCAAGAGGCCGTCCAGGAGGTGGTTCGGCCATCCCGGGAACGGGTCCTCTCCAGGGGGTTCACCAGGTGCCCCGGTATGCCGGCGCCGGCCGTGCGCCTCCGGGGCTCGGCGGGGCGCCCAGGCTGAGAGATGTGCGTTCAGCAGGGAGAGGGTCCGCCGGATACTCCAGGAATGATCATCTGGAGCCCTCCCCTCCGCCAGCTGGGAGAGGGTCCGCTGGATACTCCAGGAATGATCATCTGGAGTCCTCCCCTTCCGTCCGATTGCCCCCCTCCTCCCCTCCTCCAGCCGGGAACTCCGACGAGGAAGGCGCGGGGGGAAAGTCTTTCACGGGCGAGGCCGCGGGGATGTGCCCAGCAGGGGGAGGCGCGATGTAGCCCACAGGCTCCATGCAGACATCCTCCTCTACCTGCTCTGGGGCGGGGTCGGTGCCGTCGGCGGGGACGAAGTCCACGGTCCCCACCATCCCAACGGCAGCCCCAATGGCCGCTCCAGCCACGGGAGCCGTGCGCCCTCCCGGAGGCAGGGCACCCAGCTCGGCCGCGGCGAGCAGTAGCAAGCAGGCGGGGTGGGATCCTCCCCACCCCCTCATGATGAGATTAGGGGCCAGGGGCCCCTCCCGTAAAAGCACAGCTCGAAGCACAGACGGCTGCGGAAGAGGGGAAAAGGAAAAAGGGGAGGGAGCCAAAGCACTGCGGCCTAGGGGGGAATAAAACCGTTTAGGCATAGCCAAACGAGACCAGAAAACCTCCCGTCGTGATGCTTCCACAGCGCGAAAAGGTCTGGGGCGGTGGCCGGGAGAGAACCTTTCGCGACAAAGGCTTCGCCCCCCCCCATCTAGAAGTGTGGGGTCTCATGTCCCCCTCCCGACCTTCGAGCCGTTGACTGTTGGGCCCGTGCAGATCGTTGCGCCATTGACGATGGATCGGGCGAGCGCGATGGTCACCGGACGCGCCTGGACTCGGCCGATGGGGTCGCCGAGCTCGCCGATGCCGCAGGTGCGTTAGCGGCGCGACTGTCCTTCGTAGTCCTCGTATCCATGCAGGACGGCTTCGCGGGGAAAACGCCGCATTGCCATTCCACGGCCTGTCGGCGTTCTCGCGCAGGTCGCGCGATGGGTTTGCCATGTGGGGCCAGGGCAACTGGGCCGCCGTGGCTTCGCGGAAGCAAGGGCAAGGAAGGTGGGCCTGGGACTTGCCCGCAGAAGCTTCGTGGCCCCCTGGGTGATCTCCCTATAGGTTGCCTGGGTCTTCTCTCAGAGCCCCCTTGTAGCGCACCGCGCGCCAGCGCACCGTGCGCCGAAGCGTGTTCATGGGCGCGCGGCTGTGGCAGAGTAGGTCGTGGGTGGGCGGGGCGATCTGTCGCCTCCTCCCCCAGATCCTGAAGAAGACGGCCGAGCAATCGCCGCAACGCTGAAGCACGGAACGCAGCAGTCATTCTCACAGACGCGTGGTTCAGAAGGCCTGTGGCCTGCATCCGCCCGCTCGCCAAAATCAAGGGAGCTCTGGCTGAGAGCTCTTCTCCGACTACACGCAAAAAGGGGTGCAGGACGGCAGTGCGCACGCGCGCAAGAGGAGCGGCCGACATGCAGGTGGCGACATTGGCGGAGCCGTTACAAGAAACAAGTCGCCTGTGAGAAGTGCAGGACCAAATCACGAGGATGGCAAATGTGGCTTTGCATGAACTTCGCAAGCCGTTCTGCTCCCTACCAAGCGGTGTGTGTGTGTGTGTACGTACGTGTGTGCGTGTGTGTCTGTCTGTCTGTCTGTCAGTCAGTCTGTCTGTGTGTGTGTGTGTGTGTGTGTGTGCGGCTCCGTGATGGCAAAACAACGTCGGCCTGCCCCATTGGGTTGAGTGTGGCAGGTGTTGGAGAGGATGGCCAACCAAACGCCGAAACACTGAGAGTGGGAACTCACATGATGTTCCCGTGATGTTCCGAAAAGCGATACTGGGGGACAATGACCAGTCTCTGGGGAGCTGGGTTTGTTGCCTGTGCTGCCAATTATGATCGCGGCTTTGTGGTTCTCCAGTGTGGTGCCCGCGCGGCTGGACATCCCAACCTGGAATTTCTCGCGACTACCGTCGTTCTCGATACAGCCCTGGAGGCACACAATGTAGTAATTCACTGCAGCGAGTGGAGGGTACCAGTGTACACCAGATGACCATGCGCTGCCGCAGTGACTGCGCGCACCAAAGCGGGCCGCCCGCCGGGGGGGAACAGGCGGGAGCAAAGTCCGATATGGCTCTTTCCTCTCGATCCTCCTGCTCGTCGAGTGCTCGTCCTCCTATCTGGACAGCGCCGCTTTCGTTCTGGTTCGTTTTGGTCCGGGCCCAGGTCTCTGGAGCTCTCTCGCCCAGGACCGCGAAAGGAGGGGTTCTGGCGCACGGCGTTTGCCTGTGGAGGCCCTGGGCGCTGAAATGGTGATTTAAAGATAAGGAGGTGACGAAAACACGCAGACACAAATAATCGTCGATTCCCAAGAAAATATGGGAAATATGGGAAGTGGTGGGGAGAACGAACATCCAGGACATATGGAACATATCAGGAAGGAGCTCCAGGGATTTGTGTCTATTTATTCGTGTGTCTCTCTGCCCCCTCAAGGGAGGGGAAGTACTCAGGAGGAGGAGGAGGGGGAGGGAGGAGGAGGAGTAGCAGTAGCAGCGAGAGGAAGAGACAGGAACAGCAGGGAGGCGCAGTCCTGGGAGGAGGACGAGAGCAAGACAAGGGCGAGGATGGGGAGGAGGGGAGGTGGAATGGAGAGGTGGAGGACACTCACTCCGCAGGGGGGGAAGGGGGAGTGGGAGGAGGGGGGGAACGAGGAAAAGGAGGGGTAGGATGAACGAGAAAAGGGGGTGGGGAAAAGGGAAGGGCAGAAGCTCGACAGCCCTTCCTTCAAAGCACACTTCAGCACAGGGTTATTCACAAAAACCCACCAGCAAGTGGACCCCCGACTGGCAAATCTCGTTGTGGTATAGCTGGTAGGCCCGTCGTCCCGTCGAGGGTCTCGCCCCGCCGAGGACCCCATAACCTCACACCCCTGGCAGCAGAGTGCCCTAAACAGCTTATCATATACGGTATGAAGCACTCTTTCGTTTCGTTTCGTGTCGCAAGGCTTCCACGGGGGAGTCGCAAGTAACACATCTGTTAAGACGCGGAGCGCTCTAGAGTGCATCCGCCGACCCCCGCTTGCAGGGGGTGAATAGGCGTGTGCCCCCCGAGCCCCCCAGAGGCCCCAAGAGGCCTTGAAAACGCCCCCAATAAGTCCCCCAGAGGCCGCCAGGAGGCCCCGCGAAGCCTCCCAGATGCCCCTCCAAACCCTCCAAGAGGCCCCCGAGAAGCACCCCAAGAGCCCATCATATGCATCCAAGAGTCTCCTGACCCAAGACATAACTTCCACGATCGTCTCGAACACTCACTCCTTGTGCGGGTTGGCGGAATGGCGTAAGCCACTTGAACATGTGGACGTAGTGTGCTGTGCCATACTACGCTGGTGCAACGCCATACTGTACTACCCTACGCGCCAGTCGGAAGAAGTGGGTAGAAGCAGAAAGTATGAAGGCGTTGGAAGTAGATTGGGCTTCCGCCCGCTCCCTGAAGAGGAGGGAAGAAGGAAATTCGCTCGACTCGAGAAGTAGGAAGGCGCCTAAAATCCGCCGATCCGGCGTGTGAACTACAAGGAGCCTCAGCAACAGCGTCAGCTCTGAGCCCAAGCAAGAGCTTCAGCTCTGCTTGGGGGGGGTGGCCGGGGTGGCTCTGCCGAGGAAGGGGGGGAAGGGATGGGGGGGCGGCGGTTCCCCATCTGGCGTTTTCTTCATGATTTGCGCATGCGGACCACTCCCGGAGAAGGGGGGAGGGGGGGGGGGGCAGTACCCCATCTGGCGTTTTCCTAATGATTTGCGCATGCCCAAGATGTTTCGGGGGGTCCCGGTGACCCCCTTCAGATCTAGCCGCTACCGCCCCCAGGACCCTCCCCTCGGAACCCTCCCCGGACCCTCCCCGGGACCGCTTCAGGCACCCCCCCAGAGGAGAAGAAAGAGGACCGGAAGAATCGAGGAGGGAGGAAGCCACGGAGCCGCGAAGATCACCGAATCCGGAACTGGCGCCAGAGGCCATCACAACAGATCAAGATCTGGGCATCCGAAAATACCTACTTTCCACGGCCGGCGTGTATGCCGTGCCGTGCGCGGGACCACAGAACGGGAGACCGCAGACTGCGGGAGCAAGACCAGAGACCACGACCAGAGACCGCGGGCCACGACTAGACCACGACCAGAGACCACGGGCCACAGATCATGACCAGACCACGACCGCGACCAGACCACGGTCACGGCCAGGCCAGACCACGACCACGACCACGACCACGACCACGACCAGAGGCCAGATCAAAGACCGTGGGCCACGACCAGACCAGACCACGACCAGAGACAACGCGCCCTCTGGCCTTAGAGTAATTAGATAGGTCCCTTGCAGATAAGCTGTCAAGGGAAGACTCAGAACGCCACCTCAAAGCACCGTTACTTATACCTGTGCTGAACTGCATGACGATCGATTAGTATCTGAGGGATGGCATGAGTTGGACAACGCTTGAGCGCTGCTGAGGCAATGGCATGCGGCGGAAATCATATGTATCCCGCCTCTTCGGTAACGATCCGCACCTGCGAAAGTAAGCAAATCACATCGTATGGTGCCGGTTGCATTCAAGAGTCGACAGCGAGTGTACGCACTGCTTGTGCGAATCTGATTGCGCTATGATGGGCGTCACCACGACCCAAGCGAGCCCGATTGCCGCCAACACACTTGACATGGATCGCACACTCTTCCCAAGCTGCCAACAGTACCCTACGCTTCCTCAGCAGACCCATGGCAATGGAGCCCATCTTTGAAACAAACTGTGGCAACAACTGCGACGGCCACATGTGCTGCAACTGACGCCGTGAGTGTCTATCGGGGAAGATTTTGCCACCGCGCGCCTGGCCGCAGCATGCAGCACAAGTGTGTGCGTGCCTGCGTGCACGCGGGCTCGTGCAGGCGGGCGTGTGCGCGTGTTTCCGATTACTGCGCTGGCAAGACGCCATGAAGTCGTCCCTCCTCCCAT